CGAGTTACACCTGTTCATCAATTAAACGATCTTCCTTTCTTTTTCGACGTCTCTTTCTCTCTCACTTTCTGTCTTTAGTAAGGGTACGTTAGGGTTTCAGGTTATCAGGGCGGAGATTACTTTAAATATATCAACGGTTTATATACGTCACTACTTTGGAGCAAACGTGCAACAAGTTGTTCGTACAGGGTGGCAGATTTCGGTACTAGCAGATTTTTTAGTCTACTGCCTGACTATGCGAATAATTCACTGTATCAATCACGTAGAATGTAATTGTACACTAAGAAACTGGGCGTTCAGTGAAACATATTGCAGACACCGGAGACACTGTGCGCGAAATGAACCGAATTTTAAGGACTCTAATACTAATGACGAACTGCAGCACTGCATCTCATCTGAAAGATAAGTTATCGTTATCGTGTCCCGTTTACTTGTCTCGAGGGATGTCCTTTAAAGAGGCTGATTCGCGCGGAATACGGAACACCTGCTAACATCCGCGAGCGTGCACGGGAGTTGCGGAAAATCTGTCTCCGGGGACAACGCGGTTAGAACGACGAAGGAAGGAAGAGATCGGGGTACGAAAGCGATGAAGAACAGCTGGAGAGAGAAAGAGAGAGCGTGAAACGAGTGTACCACCACTTACTAACTGCATATACGTTTATCAAGAGCAACTCATGGTAAAACGAACACGACTCTATCCGACGCTGGCAACGATAACAACGACGACGACGACGGTCGACGGCGACGGCGATCGTTCACGGTACGGGCCGTCAGTAACTGTACTGAGTGCCTCTGACACTTACTCATGCAGTTTCGTTGCTTAGGTGGGGACCAGGTTGGGCCTTGCGACGGGGCACAGTGAAACCAAAGGAGTGGGAACGTCGGCTGGTTCTTCTGGTCGTGGTGGGGCGAGTATGGGCCAGACAGACTGTACACCCGCGTGCATAGATGACTTTCCAAGGTGTATTCGCGTGCATAGATGACATAAAGACGATATTGACGCGGTCCATCATCGTGATTTTATTGGTGGCATTGCCTTTAAGTTAGCTCACGATTTTCCACACGTGTTATCATCATCATTTATCACAACCCCGAAGCATATCTCTACGACAAACTGTGGTGTTCTGATCTATTCAGGTATCATATACAGGGACTGTAAATCAAAACATAAGAAAGGCAGAAAAATGGTGGAGCTTTTCTCCTTCCATTCAGTCTTAAGGAGAGACAACTGTGCACCTAGGTGTACACGAGAGGACAGTAAATGTAGGAGACAGGGAAAGAGAACAATCGAGGAAGCGAGAGAAAATCAACAAGTATGCGAGTGAATGAGGGAGCGAGTGAAAGAAAGGCACGTGTGTGAGTAGGTAAATAAGCACTCGTGGAAAGGTGCGAGTGAACAAACGAACAGCCGAGTGAAAGGAGCAGAGCTGGAAAGCTTATGTACCGAGGAACGAGGGAAAAAGACAGGCTACCGTGGAGAAGGAAGGAGAGGAACGGGTCCTGGAAGTCGTCTGGCACGTAAGCACTTGCCAAGGAAGACGTGGCGTCCTCTACCGAGCCAGGTAGAATCGACTATCCGGTATCTCATTTAAATACCCGTTCTTTACCGTTCACTGGCTTTCTCGTGTTCGCGCGTCTGTGTGCCCGAGCATACAAACGACCTCGTCTACCTGATACCCTGGGCTACACCTGCCGAAATTTCACCAACACCGCGGAACGTTCACTGAATGTTCTGCCGTCTGTGTGACAAAGGTGACGCGAGCGCGTACATGAATGGCTTCGTGAATGAAAAACGACCTAACAATAAATTCACAGACTCGCGAATTTTCTCTTTGCATCGCGGAAACGATCGGATGTAGACACGAGTTGCGCAACTCGATTCTCTTTTTTTTTTTGCTTCCGTTTCATCGCGTTAGCTGTAAGCGTTACAAACGACCGTGTAATTATTTCTACGGGAAAGCAGAACGGGTATAATTCTTGATAGAAGATGTTTGCACTGGTAACTCTTATTTTTTGCAACAAGAGAAAATTCTGTTTAAATATGCGTAAAATTTAATTGGAATGGTACGATTACCGATGTTAAAGTACATTGGACAAGATAGCTGTAAAGTAATCAAGGATAAAGTGCTCTCTGTTAGAAAAATCAGTAAATTTATTCTACCTCAGGATTTACTCGTCTTTATTGCATGTAGTACCTGAACAGGTGGCTACATGAGAAGTCCATGTGCTGTCGGCAACCCTGTCGACGGCGATCTCAACATGGGATGAAAAAGAAGAAGCGTTCGAAGCTAGGATCAGGCTGACGCGATGAAACTACAACCTGTTCAGAGAACCTGAAGAATCGGTCTGGGAATTATAGGTTGTAAGGTCTGAAATAAAAATGTTAAATAATAGGAGCTATAAATACAATTAATGAGTGATCAGTACCTCGATTAATTTTTCTATAATTACTTAATAGTTACCGATAGCATTTCCTTCGATAGTGCTCTGAACTAATTTATGTAATATCCGAGCCTTTAACAGTATTTGAATTTCACTTCCAATGGATGCTCAATAAGTTACAGCAATTATCGATGTTACTCTGGACTATTTAAGCTAATTTCTGCGATGTCTGACCTTTCAGTATCATGTTCATACAATCACCAACTATATTGAACTTGTATATTAGTCTCATTTAGGGAGACCTTCAAGTACTTCCCGCACACACTGTTACGGGTTCGATACCTTTAATCTTATTTACCGAGAGCTACGTGGTGTAATGAGCAAGGTCCACGTCTATCGACGTCTAATCTCGTTTATTATTGTTATACTAACTTTGTAGACTGAAACACCGCTTGTTTTAATAATAGTTCATTTACCTTGCGAGACGGATCGATACTTTCTCATCGTCGGATAAATTTCAGCACGTTCGCTTCATTTTTTATTCAACAAAAATCGATTTCGTTTCTCCTTGCACAAGCATCGTGCACAGAATTCCATCTGTGTCCTATAAGTTTACGAATTTCTTATACTTTTAGAGACCTCTGTTCCTAACGAATTTATCTTCCTGCTTACTCGTTTCACCGGATAAGTAACAGTCGCCTGAGAGCAAAAGAATGTCAGGCTAATTCACTCCGATTTGCCATAAATCGACAGGTATCTCTATTCAAATGAGTAGAAATCGATTTTGGAATTATCGCTTTTTATGCAGGAAATGTTCATTGTAAATGAAGATGATTCCGAGCGTCGTTGTAGCATGGAGAGCTGGTTTCCTACCCTCCCTACGTATCGACAGTCGATATTCAACCCCTGCTCGCGAATTCCCACCCCTAATTTACCATTTGTCGCATGACGACGTTCAAATGTCCAAATGCAAGATTTTCTTATAGCAGAAAAATATAAAATTCAAATTTTGAATCATACATTGGGTCAGCAGAGAGCCGTCTTCGTGATTCGAGGGTTGAATCACGATTTCGTGGGTTCCCTGTTGTCGGCATCGATCGGTTAATCGCACACAACGTCCGATGTTTCTTTTACTCCTTATTATTTGGCCTTATTTTCCACATACCTCACCCGGTAAACCAGTTGGTTACTGTTCGCCTTTCTTTCCATGCCGTGAAACCTGTACTCTGCATACCACTTACCGCGGCATGCGATTGAATAAGCGACTTTATAAACAGTTAAAATAACAAGCTACGTGTCTAGAAAAGTACGATACACTCTTGGGAATTCTTATTTTTTTTCTTATCTTGTCGCTATCGTGATCACGCGCAATAATGTCTGAATCGTAGTTCAATGGGAGACACGTGTATTTATTTATTTGCTTTGTGCGTAGATATTAACACCTTGACAGCTGTATATTTTATAGGATGAATGGCTTTTGTATGGAAGGATTATGAATTCTATATTCTTTTTTTTTTATGATGTAGACACATGGTGCGTTTTTCGATCTGAAATTAAATTACATTCTCCTGTGATCAGATTTTAATTAATTATCAAATAATCAAATGTCTACAAGCAAATTTGCGTCTATTAACATTTTTTTGCGTTCCTTAACGAGCAACTAATAAGTATATTTTGGTATGTCATAAAGTAAGCGTAACATAAATTCAAACAGGGCAAAAAACTCAGATTTAAGATTATATTTCCTCCTTCAAACAACTTTCACGCGAACACAACTCGTTCGTACTTTCAACGTGTTGGCACAATCGCGGTTGTACATTCGATTCGAACGTACTGCAAACCTCGATCAAATTAGACGCTTATTGCAAGCAGGTTTCACCGTAGCTTTCAGTTTAACTGGAATTTATTTCAAAAGTTATACGCGAAAGGATGGGAGTAATGATTTGACTTTGAAGCTAATTTTCACATTTATAGAAGAAAATGACGTGTAAATGAAGAAGACAGATATTATCGTGGATCACTGTATAAACCCACAAATTCAAGTTCTAATTGATGAGGATGAACTTCAAATGCTTCCCTATGAGTAGAAAGAAAATAAATGATTAGTCTGTAATGAGCATGAAGTATTACTTCAACAAGGAAAAGCAAGTATTGAGATATTTCTGTGGAAAGAAGGAAAAATCGAGGTTGAAATCTGTGCCGTATCGATGATCGTGTCGTGCACCAGCTTCGATGTGTTGACCTTGCGTGGGACGTGTTGGGGAGTAGAACAGGTTCCGTTACACCTTCCAGCTTCGAGAATTCCATCGGGTTCTGTTTGCTTCTATACGTCCATTTTTTTTTTCTTTTTCACTTTAAGGGTGAGGTGCTTCGCGCTGACGACCTCTGGGTTGCTGGATACAGCTTCTCGACGGGTTGTGTACAGCGCAAAACGGGAAAAGAAATTCCGGATACCTGAGGATGACACTTGTCCATATCAGTGACACTTCCATTACCGGTCAGAAATTTGGGGTCACATTATTCACTGTTTCACCAAGTGAATTCTAACATATTTAATCATTAATTACATTAACGATAATCTTTTCATTTTGTAATTCATAATTATGTGCATTCGGTGCAACGTACTGCATGCCTCGGGCAAATGCAGCTGCATAAGATTAATAATTTCATATAGAAAATTGAACGAAAAAAACAAAATTCACTAAAAAATAAAATAAAGGTATCCTTATGTAATTATTATTATATAACATACTGCTTTTGAGTTTTGATGGCCAACATGTTAATCCACATAACCGTGTGCCAAATTAGGTATGGTTATTCCTATTGTGACAGTGGACGAATGGAAAACGGGAAGGATAATGAAAGTTAATGAGCACTATTCGTTTCGTTTTATGACTTGCAGACTATTCTCCGGGGAAGTCTTTTTTACGCTGCATTAATTAAAGTACTGATTACCTTTATTACACGGTAACTCCATTTATTAGTTACAATATTTGAAATTTACCTTTTTACCTGAATATCAAACGAATTCATTGGAAGTCAAATTTAGAGAGTCGCTCTGGGATTACCTTTTCCATAGTACAGAACTGTAAAAATTAGATTGTTTTAAATTTATGCGGCTAATTCTCTTTCTCTGGATAGGAACCAAACATTCATGGGATCTGATTTGCCCTTCATGGTCACGGGTCCTCTGTATTCCAGCAGAAATTGTGGATCCTGGTTCTCAGGCATGCACAGATACCTGCAATAAATAAATAAAATATTTAGTGTTTAAACATACTTCTATCGCTAATAATCAAACAGTTAATATTAAACTGTTTCTAATAAAAATTTCCTTCACATTTATAACGGTAACGTGATCTACTTGTACAAATCCAATTGTACAAGTTAATTTGTATAAATTACACGAGCATGTAAATCTAACTTGTTCTCAACGTGAACCTGTTTACACCGAAAGTACATCTACAGAGAAAATATGCCACGCATCTCGTTAACACAACCGCTAGATATCTCTTAATTTATTGCCACAGGTATGCAGTAAATTACTCTTAAATGCTAAAAATCTCTAATCATCTAACGTTCTACGGGAACATTTGCACACAGTTAGACGGGGTTGACATTTTTATCAGAGTCTGGCAAAACTAGCTGACCACGAAGGGGACGATGCAAAGAAGCCCTTGAAATACTTATTTAACAGCTAATCGAATTAGCCTTCTCTCGTTTCCTGCTTGTTCCTCGAGTCAGCTATCATTTGGAGGTGAGCAATGGTCGCGATACTTTGTTAGTTCTTTTGCAAACGATTGTTCTTGACACCGAATCAGTGCATGTCTACCGTCAAGTTTTTCTATCCAGTTGGGAAAGAAAATGGAGGTGTTGATAGATTGTTACTTCGACAAACTGTTCGCTGAAATGGAGCGCAGTTGCTTAGCTTCTCGGTACAAACGTCGTGAAATGGTCGGTTACTTTTCAGACGTGATAAATAGCTGCGCCGAAGGTAATAATTAAACTGCAAACGTATATGCAAATACGTGTTTTTATCAAATATTTCCCAGATGATTCACGATATTCTTTTAATTCGCACATCGTGCGCATAACATACCAATTCTGAAACGAAATTTTCGAAAATAAGTAATATACCGCACGGTTAACGGGATTTTGGGAGATCGATTCGAATAATCTCACGTTGACGGTTTTATTTCCGATTCACTGATCGTCAGGTTCGTCCAATGATCCGCTAGGAAACTGTACGGTGTGACCATGAAAGTGGCTCTATCGACAATGGCGGAAAGAAAGTGATCCCGTGTAATTTTAGACCCGGGAGAAACCTGTGCATCGCTTCTATATGATTTTACTTTCTTCGAAAAATTATGCAAAGCAGCGAATCGAAGCGACGCGATCGAAGTCACTCGTTCGTGAAGAGAAAAAATATATCGCTTGAGTTACCCATTTGTTATTTTAAGAAGTATACTCTAATATAATGATTCCCGCAATTTTCAGCGGAGAACCTCGATAAGCAGGACGTCTGCGAGAGGATAGTGATGTCCGCTCTTCGCTACCACAATATCGCCATGATGGAGAACGGCTACGTCTGCATGCTAGGTAAATTCCACAATGTCCTCTACGTAGCCGCGAAACTGTGTTTCGACTGGAACTTGAACAACAACGAGATCGTCGCGCGTCTGCTCAACGACATATTCTACTGCGAGAAGACGTTCGAGCGGATTTTCGTGGGCGCGATCTTCGGCATACGGGTGACGCATTTCCTGTCCGGATGGAAGAGCGACTTCGAGGATCGCGAGGAGAACATTCGCGCGTTGGTGTACTTCCTGAATCACGCTGCCCTCGGACGTCTCGAGTATCGGTGCGAGTCGTCGCCCATGAAGAGACGATTCATCGACGTTCCCATGGAATCGTACGGGCAAGCGTTGCCCTTGAGAGTGGCCATTCAACACGGTGCCCCGGATATTCTTTTGATCATGCTCCGTTACGGGGCCTCGGTCGAGTCCGACAATCTGGCGCCCTCCCCTCTGGAGATGCTGCTCACCAAGCTGAACGAATACGAGGCACAACCGGGCCAGGATGAGACAGCGTACCCGGAACAGCTGTTGCTCTGTCTCAGGCTGGTCCTGAGAACCGTGACGACGGCCTTCGTCAAAACGCCCAGTCACATAGCTGACCAAAGCGGCGTGCTGAGCATCTCCCTCTACGAACAGTATCCAGCTTTGGTGGAACAGAAGCTGGTACCGCCCGAAAGAAGCGGATTGAGCCCGCCCGAACTGAGACACCTGTGTCGTTGCCGTATTCGAGAGACTCTGTTCGAAAACTGGAGTCTCCCACACGGGATCCACCAATTACAGCTTCCCGAATCGTTGAGAAACTACCTGGATCTTCTGTACGATTAGCGGTTATCGATATGTTATCTGAGGAATGTTTCAGAGAAACTGAGATTCGTTGCTTGGAATACGGAAATTTTTGGGTCATCGAGAGATTCTTTCGAGGTTTACTTGAAGATGAGGTCGTCGATGTTTTCTGTGTGTAAAATATGGAGATTTTAAGTTTGCCACTTTTGGAAGTATTGGTTAAATTTTTTACAAATTAAGGTTTTATATTATTTGAGCATTAGCTCTTGGGAGATGAATCGAAAGAAAGCAGAAGAATAAAGTGCCTTAAATTATGTACAATAATTAACTTCTATGTTAATTCTATCCTTTTAAAATTTTTCAATGGAATGTAAGGAACTTTTAAAGGTGTAGGTATTTGGAATGCTTACGAACTTTGGCAAAGATATAATCGATTACATGATCCAATGGAATCTAGTTTAGAAGAGTTTGACACACGAATGTAAGCGTTGTCTAAAATGTTGTAAACTTTCTTATAAGTTTCAGTGCGTTGCCAGTTGGTCACATAAACCGATTAACTTTCTGATCGAACCAGAACGATCCCATAAAATAAATGACCGTGTAAACTCTGACACAGGTGTATCGAATTTTCCACTTCGTCTGATACTTTACTCGAAGTTTACGAGTGTACGATATTCACCACGATATGTAACGAGTTTCTTCAATATTAATATCGTAGCGGCAGACTTTCGAGTAGTAAAAGCAACTTATACTACTTGTCGATTTCCATAACTTTGTACTATAATTATTTTGCGAAACGTTTCCTGCGATACTTGTTTCAGAAATAACGAAACAAATCGAATTCGTTGATAAATTGGATTTGACACAAAGAGGAAATAAATCGTGAAAGATGACATTATAATTCCATCGGAAGTTGTACTTTTTGTTACCGGTTATTGTGAAATACCGACGGAATTACGTGTTTTATGCAGGCAAAGAGTTGCGAATTACTCTCGAGAGAAAGCGATAAATTTGCCTTTCGATGTTTTCCTTTACGCGATTCGATATCGTTTTATAAATTGTGCAATGAGTTTAATGCGTAAATTGAAGCCAGTCAATCTCGCAACGAACAACAACGTTACAAGAGCATTAAACGCTCGGGAGTTTTGGTTGACAAGCGTGGCTGTCGTTTCAACTACCGTTTTGCATTACATTTTATCCCCGTGCGTCCAATAAAGTTCCCACGGGGATGATGGCTCGTGAGCCATTCTAGATTTTCCTAACTTCACTCGTGTAATTGAATTACCTTGATAAACATTTCATTGTCACGTTATTGTCAGCTCTGACACGGTACCCTGTCGATTACTGTCAATTCGACACGCTAATTATTCCTAATATTCCGCTCACAATTTTCGATTTATTATTTAAAGCGAATTAATTGAATTTACCTGTACGCGTCTTCGGAAACGTTTATTTTCCCAGGTTCTCCGGTGGTTTCCGTTCGGCTGGTAAGGTTCACCGTATTTCCGAATAAACAATAACGTGGCATACGGTGGCCGATGACACCGGTCACAACCTCGCCGCTATGGATCCCGATGGTGATTTTCTGCGAAACACATCAGCAAGGTCTTCTTATAAAGAGACAATGCGTATTCGTGTCACGTCGATCGCGTGAACGTTACTCGGCGGAAGCTTTCGCGAGGAAACCGGAAGAGTGCATTCCGGAAGGAGAACAAGAATCTTTTTACGGATAATCGAATACAAGAAACCCACGTGTCGATACCTCTCTCGTCACGAAACGCGATTGAAAGCCTAAGTCAACAGCTTTGAATCCGTCTCAAGATGCTTCTTATTTATTTATTCGATACGTCGAGACCAAGTTGACACCTTAACGCGAAGCTGCTGTATACTATAATAGATACTTTTGAATTAAACGATCAAATTGTATCATCGTTCTGTTTGAATAAAAATATTACGTTAGCGTATAATATTTGAACTTTGAATAAAAATTTCAACGACAGAATTCACGTGTTGGTACTCGGTTGAATATCCGAGACTCAAAAAGGAGAAAGCGTTCGACCGAATAAAATAGAATAGAAAGTTGATTGATTGAATAGCTTCGTATTAAGTTTCTCCGTAAATCAATCGCCCTCGATGTTCCGAAAAATCAGAAAATTAGTCAATTCTAAAATACGAAAATACAAACTTATAAATCATAAGAAACAGTATTTCTCCTGCTCTGTCATACTTATCAGAAATTAACCTCGTTTGCCTACAACTGATACAAAATTTCTGAAAGGAAAACTAAGAACGTGTCCTAAATTGATATATACCTTCGTACGAGATTTGCTAAGAAAGTAGAATTGGAACTCGGCATAACGCAGGTAAAGAATAGGGGTACTTACCACAGGCTCGCCATCGATCTGCACTTCATCTGCAGCAAGATCCATCATATCTAACGCTAGGCGAGCGATGCATCGTGCATGGCAACGACATGGTTCTGGTAATCCGCTCACGGCCATGTATTTGTCACCAACAGTTTCGACCTAGTCCGACCAAAGTGGATCAGTGCTAACAAACCTCGTAAATTCAAATATATCCGTTGTCTGTTACACACTTGCTACCGCGAATCCTACTTTAGCTCTCGAACCATCCTCTCGAGCGAGTAAGATCGATAATATTATTAAATCAGAAAGTTTCCACGATGACATGACTAAAATGGCTGTTACTACGAATAAACGGAGTTGCTGAAATAATAATTCAAAACTTGCTGATATAATAATTCAATCGAAAATATGAAAATGAAAATGTGATTAAAATTAAATTTAGGTAATTGTGATCATATCAGTGGTACGCCATCCAAGGGTTAATATCATACTAAGTCAGAACAATACATGAAACTTTGCAAACTCGTACTCTCAGAGAGATGTCATCGGGAGAATTATTCCGCAACGATGAAACCATTTGCACACAACGGACGTAACTATAATTTGAAAAGAAGGTCGAGTAACCCCGGTCCCGTTACGGTAGAACTAGCAAATTGCACGCTCAAATAAGCGAGTTTTCCATACACTTAGTTATAATAAAGGAAACTTCGAAGGGGGAATAGAAAAAGAATTTCTCTTTCTCCCCGTCGTTATTATTTAAATGGGCAACCTCTCCAACAATGACAGCCCACGTTTCCTGTTCCAGCCACTGATCAATGTATTTTAAACGGCACGTTACGCGACCGAGGAACTTTCATCGCGGCACGAAAGTGCCTTTCAAAAATACAAACACGCGTGAAACGTTACTCGGTGCAAGATGGACGTACCTCGCCCGGTAAACTCTCACCTTGTACACGTTGGGATTCTTTTTTGGATCGGTGAGCACGTCAAAGGCGGTGTACAGCTGATTCAGCATGTTGACGATTTTCATCGCGCCGCTGGAATCCGTGTGAGCTGCACAGTACGCACCGAAACCGACTATTCCGGAGAACAACAGGGTCACGCAATCGTACTTCTTAGCTGGAACTGGCCTGGAATGTCGGAGCTCGTTCGCCACGGAAATTGGCAGCACGGAGTAAAGCAATCTGCGGAATACGAGCAACTTTTATTTAAAATTTCTCGAATCACAGCGCGAGTTATTGTAACTCGTTCGTTTCCCTCGCTATTCGAATGTGTTGACTGTTATGGAAGTCATCGGGCATCATTTTAATATAATATTTTGACAGCCGTATGTTTCATGGAAATACCGAGTGCCATTGCTTTTATATTTTGTAGTAACGTTCTTCTTATTATGGTTGCTTAACAATTTAAAAGGCTTATAAATGTGAGAAATGTCCATTGTAAAAGTATAATGAAAAAATAGCAGACGTACTTTGCTGAATGAAACGGGGTTGAATAGTGGGTCGTAGCAATAAAGGAAATCCTCGGTACAGTATGGTTCGCTTTAATCTATAAACTCGCTGTATCACAAAGTACCAGGATATTGAATGCACATTGACTTGAGAAAACTGTACGCGAGGGAGACTGAAAGGGGTCGTAAGAGTTATTAGAATTTCAAATATCGAAGATATTTCAGTCTTCTCACTCTTCTAATGCGAGCTCCATTACAAATGAAATTTCCGTATGAGATACTACATCGGAAACCTTTTAAAATACGAAAAGAACATCGCGTTCTATCGAGAAAAGATTACTCTCGATCCATATCTAATGTCACTCTCTATTCAATTTTACTTCGTGAAATTAATGACCATCTCGACCCTTCTCAATCTTCATACGTTCACCCTAATTTACAGCTCCCCCTCGTCATTCATTTCCAAATTAAAGGAGAACATCCTGTTTTTACGATCATCATCATAAAATGTATTCAGCTTCTGACGATCCTAGGAACAGGCGAAGCTTGAAAAAAGCTGCTTTTGCCCTTCCACGAGATAAAAAAAAAAAAGTGCGATCCAATTTCCGACAAGAGAGTAGCCTGTCAAGAAAGAAGTTCGTTGGACCGAAAGATAGATCCGATCCCCTCAGAATTGCGTCAGGATAAATGGCAAACGAGGCCAATGGGGATCTCCTTAATCAGAAAATTACGCGGACGGAGATCCTTACCTGTCGGTTTTCTGCTTCTCGCCGTCCAACTCGCGATACGTCTGCTGCAATTTATCGGTAAGCAGCTCCAAGTTTCTCGTTAATTTGTAATCAGCCTCGAATTGCTCCGACATCAGCACCAGATCTCTGGTGGCGTCGTGAAGAGGGATGTCGCTCAGATACAATCCTCGTCTGATCATCAAAAGCGTGAAAAAGATAAAAAGTTAAATTTCCAGTTTCGTTAAAGCGTCGATCCAAGCATTAAAAAAGTATACTTAGTATTTTTATAGTAGTTAACTATGTTATGAATAACATAATAATCGTGAGAAGTCTACTCGTTAGAAAAGAAGCTTAATTAGATTGCAAAATGCATGCAAATTTCAGGTTTCCATGATGAAGGGGTCCCTGCATAAATTCGAAGTTCCATCGAGATATAAACACGCAAGGGTTCAATGTACGAAAAGAATGAAATACGAACTGGAATAGGTTCTATATAATTTTCCTCAGTGAGATGAAATTGATCGATTAAATTGTTGAACTTGATTCTCGGAACAGAAAGTGACTGCTAAGATCACATCTAAATATGTATTCCTTTTGAAATTATTTTTATAGTAACTTTTGTAATTCAAAGTTACCTTCGACACAAACTGATGCAAGTATAAAATGTTTGTTAAAAATAGTCAGGTGACGAATATTGTTTTGCATTTCTAAGAATCGTTCGAGAATCGTTAAGAGAATATTTACGACTCTCATCGGACATCATGGTTAAAAATACAGCACGATTTTTCTGCAGAAATATCAGTTCTCGCGCTAATCCTTTGAATTTCAAATCCATCTTCGATGTATAATTCATGTTTCTCACGGTAGTTTGCGGCTAAAGAACAAAGGTTATGCGCGCCCATCGAAAATAAGATGAAATCACGGAATCAGCGATAATTTATTTCCTCTTTGATACTTTTAATTAATACCGACTTTATCTGTAATGAGTTCATCCAATTATCTTTACGATATTTTTTCAATCAGCCACACTTCAATTATTTTTATTCATGAAGAAGCGAAATATAGTTGGACCGTATTTTTCCCAGACCGTGTAACTTTCGCGTGTAATTCGTCGCTCGAAGGGAGCCACGATCCGTTTCGCATTGTAAAAAGAAGTTAACGGGCGAGATAACAAGAGCGGATTCGATTAAGCATCAAATTTATCCGCTAACTGGCGCGACGCTTTTACTAGAACGAATTCCCGCAGGTTCCAACTACACCGGGAATTATACGCGCGTTAATCGACGACCATAAGCGGAACAGCGACGCGTAAAATTCGCCTACCTCGTAATGACACGATTACATGATCGAATTTCCACCCTGGAATTACTCGTCCCATCAGAAACGTCGCACATTTGCATTTAAAATGTAGCAAAAAGACTTTTTGTAGAAATAATTTATATATATGTATATAAAATAATTTAACAAAACAAAAATTAAGAAGAGGTCTCACTCAGAACCAAAAGTTTAAGTACCGTACGTCGCTGACATTTGGAAACATATTGCCAAGAGTGAGTTGACGAAAGCAAAAATTTCTAAGTTTTCCTTTCGTCAATTTAGCGTATAGTTAATGTACGAAGAAGAATTCCAAAAGGATTTATTATGTCACAATATCACCGTGAAAGTTAAGACACGATTAATGGGAGTAGATCGAAGTCAATCGTTTCGTAAATCTTCAGCAAACAAATTGCACAATGGAGAAGGACATACGCGTATATGTATCTACTTTGGAAGGCTATAAAATTCACGATCGAATGAAATGTAACCAGGCGAGTGGTTATGGACGGTCGTGGTATGTGGGTCGTTATCGTAAATAGACGCAACGAGTTTAGTGGCCAGTAAGTAGAAACACCCTATTAATTCATCGTAACGTATTCCCCTGTCTTTGTGCGGAAAATATTTGTCGTCGGTGAAACAACGGTAATGGTCGTTCAATAGATGCCGAAGCGATGGTTCACATAATTACAGCCATTCTTGTGTCTGCCGCTACTATACTGCGAACATAAATTCTTGTTACACCGTCGCCGAATTACTCTCGTTCGAAAATCTTCACCCTTTTTTGTTCTCCTTGTCATTTTTTCTTTTTATCGTCTTACTTTCTTTCTCTTTCTCTTTTTCCGTTTACGTAACGAACTAATTGTTTTATAAAAATTAGTTAATATGTACATATTTGATTCACCACCCATAATTTTCAATTCAAACATATTTAATAAAGGAAATTTGAACTTCTAGCATCGTAGATCAGACCAAAGCGAAAATTCTACGCTTTCGATCGTTTCTAATTGAGACGAACGGCGTCCATAGAACAGCGTTCCACGTTTTGCACGTGGAAACTCGTATAGTATTCTTTGCGGTGGCCATTTGTTTCTCTGAGTTACGCGTTCTCCACGAAGGGGTTTTGCAGGGTTCAGAAACGTTGAACCGGAAAATGCATGGCGATAAACGTCCATGTTATTGATTACAACCGTACATGCACCTTGTTTAGCTTGATTGAAATTCCATTTAGAAAATTATTTAATAATTGTCATACAGCTTGTCACGATACAGATTAACGTATTCTAACGGGTAGTGATATTAATGTATGTAATATAATTGCAGTGACATATGAGATGGAAAATTGTTAAATGGATAATCTATATTTGGATAATACTTTCTTTTTATCTTTTTATTCGTACCTACAAACTTTAGGTAATACTCGACATTTATTCGAAACAATACCATTCACCTCGTCTTAACGAACTGTTCTCATTAATTATGCAAGCAGTAAAGTTAAGCTCAATTCTACCAAATTTTATGACAAACATAATAATTATTCCTGAACTCTTACCGGGTTAAATCGTCTAGATTCATAACGCTGGGGTAACAGAGGAAGATCACGAAGTCCGACTCAGGAATGTATAACATTTGTCCCTAAAAGAATAAAAATCTTGATTGTAATAACGAACCATGCTTGAGCACTGAAAATTTCACAAATTCCAAATTAATTGAATTACCATTGAAGCAACTTTTAATTTTCGTTTATAAATGAAAAATATTCACGTGAAGAGATACATCTCGAGTAATTAATTTATGTACATTGTCACTCATGGGAATACTCCATTAAACAATTTCGATATTGGCTATACAAACTTTTAAGCGGAGATACGAGTACTCTTCAGAAGCGTTGACTCTCATCACACCCTTCTTCGTCCGCAGTACGTACACGGTGTTTATGTGTGACAATATATTCTCGAACGTCAGCTCTAAATGTGGTCTGATCTAGCGGAGTAAAGCTTCAACATTAGTCGATGAGGACAAGCGATAAAATTGAATTAAATAATTTGGGTAATTAAAATAATGAAAATTATTGAAACGGATTATTCGCAGAAGTAGGTGCTTTCGAAAGCATATTTTATGCAGAAATAACAGCGCATCAGCTACCCGTAACAAAATATTAAGACCGACGCGAATTTCAGCGACGCTGGAATAATAATAACCGGTGTATAATTGATTACGCCCGCGGATGCACACGCTGGCGTCTGTGCAAACGAAGTTAAATGGTTCCGTTTCAATGGTGCGTGTCACGTCAAGTAAACCGCATTTGAAAGATATATGATTACGCGTGTATGAATCCGCACGAATTATATCGGTGGTGGCCAGATAGCGGCTCACAATAACGCAATTTCTCCCTGCCCCGTGATAACTTATGCGCTGTTTCGAGAATAAAACATGGTATCGATTCCTTGTTAACGTCTCTATCCATTTGATATCTTCCCACGAGATTGAACTTGAGAAGGATGTTTATGTGCATGCATACAGCGAATTATATCTATGCTTTCAACTAATCAGGCAGGATGAATAGTAAATGAGCATGTACTGATACACGAGGCTAATTTTTTTTGTTTTTAATGCAGGAAAGAAACTGATGACACGATGTTGAAAGTTGAGTAATCAAATTGATGGATTATAATATACACGATCATATTTTCAATTATTCTTCTTAAAGTGTGTCATACTACGTACGGTAGCTTTCACTGTGGCAATCAATGCGTAATACATCATTTTGTATAGTGTAAGATTTATAATATAATAAATTATGTAAATCTACTGACACATATTTTAATAGTGATAATTTGTATAAATCAGAAAAGATGTTTAAGATTTTTTAAATTGTAATAGTATGAACTTACGGTGAGAAGAATGTCGCTTAACTTGCAATTACCAGAGGACACTTGAGGTATCACTCGAGTTATAGTGCATCCAGTTTGTACTATGGTCAGGTCTCGATTGAACATCAAGTGAAAAGGGAAAACCCGACAGAACGTCATAGGGCTCACTTTTGGCTCTGTAACACATTTTGCGGTCCTTTTAACCCTTTGATCTTGATAGAAACTTTCTATGAAATCTCTGCCATTATTCGTTACACTTACAGAAAATTATAAACTAAATAAATACGAACATGAAATTCAGTCAACTATCATTTTTGTGAAAGATAAAGGAATAATTAATTAAAACATGCTAGAAGGGATGATATTACTCACCGACGGACAGAGTTTCCAATTCTGCAATCATGGGGTTCGATACAACCCCGGGTCCAGACGTATTGGTTATCAGAAATTGAACGTGATCGCATTCGTTTTTCGTCTTCAATATTTTCATTTCAATATCCGTGCCGTGAAGCTTTTTCGCCACGGTCTACGACCGACAGAGATTATAACTCGTTTCGATTCGAACCAGTTAGATAGAATGGAAATTTAATAATTTTTATTAAAAGAATAACAACTCCAATCAACAAAGTATCAAAATCCATCCAAATAGCTTTTACGTTCTATCGAATAATTCGTAAATTTTCATCCAATTTTCAGGCTATTAATTTCATCTAGCTGCTAGAACGAAATACCTTAACGATGCCAATCACAATGTGCTCTAAGCCAGGTCGATCGGAGTAATAATGTAATATGAGCGCTCCATCCTCCGGTCTCTCGGTGCACCGAAAAGAGGGTGCCCTCATTCCCGGGTACAAAGTGCCTAAATGATCGTGAAGGGCATCCAAGTTCTGCAATTAGACGTAACACGGTCCCTGTCAAACTACCGATACTCTCCTAAACTATGTACAACGCTAATTAAAACACAGAGTGTCTAGTACATAATTCGTTTTCGATCATAGTTTCGCGATTGAACCAGATTAACGGAGAGTGCTCGTAGCTTCGCATTACGATGCTCTTTGCCCGTTCCCGTTTTCATTCGCGCTATTAATTTCAATCGCGACACGTTTCGCTCGTATTCTAGAATCCAGCAATGGGAACGCAAGAAACGAAATTGCAAATTCGACTGGTAACGATGGTACAAGAACAAACTGTCTCTACGTGACTTTAGGCTCGGCTGAGAACCGGAAATGAAACCCCATTGCAAGAAAAACATGGCGATAATAATCTTGTCCCTCGACGACGTTCCATTCGTTAATTTTATTCATTGAACGACCGAGATTTCTATAAAAACAACGACTGTGTTTTATTATAAACACTCGGTGTACTTCGTTCAAAATAAAAAATATAATTAAGCATTTAGCAGTCAATCGACGATATTATTAGGTAACAGGTTAATTTAAAGAGCCTGTGCCACGGAATAAGAAACTCTTTTCCTCTTTTACAACTTTCTAACATGCGCATCGAAATACCATTCTGTGTTACACGGACCTGCAGCGGATGTCGATTTGTCCGTGTGTCATCATTTCAGAAAACTTTCACTCCGACCATACGGAATCGTTGGAATACCAAACGCATCGCCCTCGGGCAAATTTTTATTTTTCACGAATCGCCTCGAAAGTGAGTGGTCGTCAAGCGAACGACCGTGTCGAACCGTGATTTACCTGCAAAAAGTCCCTGGGCGTCGCTCCGAGCACCTGAAGAATCTTGTCGTAACCAGAGTCCTGACAGAACTCGAAGAACATTCGTCCGAATAGCTCGAGGATCTCGTTTGCTGGTATGTCTGGAAAATATCGGATGCGAACTCGTTAAATAACAAAATTTAATAGATAACAATTTTCCAATAAAATAATTTCAAAATAACATCAAAGCTTCTGTACTTCCAGGTATTCAGATAATATTAAATTGTAGCGTCGATTATTGATAGCCCGATAATAAAGTACAGTTTGGAGTAATTTAAGTGTAATCAAGTATCTTTTCCTTTTATCGAAGATCAATTATCTAGTCGACGCTTTGAAAAGTACTGTTCTTTCAGCGGTTGCTTTCAGGATAGATTATTGGGGTGAAAGTTCGAGGGGGTTGGATTCTTTGTTATATCCTTTGTTCGGAAAACGTACCGGAATACAATCCTTAATTTCACGGAGCATTTGCGAGGGAAGTTCAAGCGAAAGCTTTGTTTTCTACTCGATTCGAAAAGAGAACATAGCGAATCGCAAAAAATAATTACATCAAGGAATGGTCGAAGTAAGAATGGGAGTAAAGATCGGCTCAAAGGGATGGTAAAACATTAGTCTGATTAAACATCGTTTGAGAATCCAGGTAAAGAGATCCGGATATTAAACGTGGAAGATGAAAGAAGCGATAAAATAATTATTTAGACAAGGATAAAGTATGTAGATAAGCTAGGAGAGTATTTGAAGACTGTAACAAATTTATCACAGGAGATTTTCAGATAATAATAATATTCTCTTGCACTTTCTTATGAAAAATTAATAATACGTACTGAGTCGGTTGACAGCAGCCGATATAATGTTGTAGGTAATCTCGTCGTCATATATCTGACGGACGAGAAATTGCCCTTCCATATTAACAGCCGCATCTTTTCTGAATTAACAGAATATTAATGAAAATTAATAATGATGATTACGTATAGCTACATTTGAAAAATAAACAAATGATGATAGAAAGCTATGTAAAAAATATAAAAAATGTAATAAATCTGATAAACTACAGCTTTAATCGAAATAGCCCCATGGGATAAGCTAAAAGAATTTTATTAAATTTACTTGTTCTTGTAGTGTAAATACTTTTTGATTAAAGCTTGCTGTAGCAAAAAAGTCAAATACCTTTGACGTTAAAAAGTTTCTAATCAAGTAAAATGTAACGTAATTACTTAAGGATAATCAATTATGATATTCAAAGGGAACGTTGGATCGTCAAGTTAATTAATAAAGACTGTTTGTTCCCTCTTGATAACATTAAAGCGCTGTGAAACGCGGCTACGTGATTAGTTAAGGGGTTGTTTATCAAAATATAGTGCATTAATTTCAGGAGAAGTTTCACGGCTAAGTTAATTAGCCTCACGCGTCAAACAAAGTAAATGCTTCTTGCCAAGCATTTTAACAGCTCGACAGTCTCTTCTAGATTAAATTTACAAAGTATAGCTTAAAGATACTTCGGTATTTGACATGGATATGAGCTGTCACGCCGGCCTCACCACGGTATTTTTATATAAATTTTTTCGAGCCGCGATGCTCCTATAAAAGGAGGAATTCATCTTAAATTGGCCGTGAAATATTAGCACTCGAGTGAACAGAAATCGTTTCATCTCAATCACTACGAAATATGCTTTGATCATAGGATTCTTCTCCCTTTTTACATACGAGTTAAAAAACCCTTTTCTGAAGATCACAAATCCACGACCAATTTTTTATTTTGTTACGTGTTTGTATGAAAACTTACTGATCATGTCAAGTAAACTGAACAAATGGAGCCTACCAAAATTATATCGCACAATGTATAGAGGGGATATTGCGAAGGGTCATTTGGAGCTGATAAAGTGACCCTCTTTACACAAGCATTTAAAGGTCATCGCCGTATTTCATTCTCAAGATAACCCACATTTTGATGTCTCTCGCGTGTATCTTCAGCAGGCAACATTACTCTCCCGAGACTTTATCACAGTGCGAACTGCCTGTTTTATTTCGAAAGAAACCCTTACCGTATAACTTAATATCAATACTGTAAAGTTAATACTTATGATTAAAAGCAAACAGAATCAAAGCTGCAAGTTAATTAAAATCAAACGAAAGGTTCGTTCAATTAATTAAAGTAAGTAAGCATTACTTTAATGCTGGTGTCGTGTATAATTTTCTCGCAATATTTTTAATAACGTATAGCCGTGTAATGTCCTGCAATCTCGACGCAGCAGTGTGAAAAAATTAATAATCCCACTGGAGGTCGGTACAACAATAAATTCCTGTGCCGTAATGCCTCTGGCCGGGCTTTCAATTAAATCTCAGTAAACCGTGTAGCTTACCCATTACATTATTCCAAGCGAGCTATAATCGTGGACGGAGGAAAAGAAATGCAGGAGGAAAGCGGCGAGGTTGCGAGAGCTTTTCTGAATAACTTTATTCAGACTGAAAGTCGCATGGGTACCGTTGTCCTCTTAGAAAGCTCGCCGGAGAGAATCGTTCCCATGGAGCACGCGTTCCACGATAATTTCGCGTGTTTAACGCCGCGTAAACTCTCGTTACAAGCAAAGTATACAAGTACGTTTTTCTTTCTTTCTTTTTATAGATTTCGCGGTCCACGGAAGAATCTCGGGGGGCAGTAACAAACTTTGAGGTAAACCGAGAGTCACGTTTTTCATTTGACGAAAAAAACAAAACTATCCAGGAAAACAGTTACGCTTTTTCGCTGTAAACGTAAAAAGTTTCACTCTTCGCGAGTTACACCTTTTATTTGTAACGTTGGGATTTGACGTCTGCCAGCGGACCATTGCAAACTTTTCTAAAAGATCGATCGCGATCCGTCGAATAAGCAAAACGTATGAAACGATTCCTGGAAACAATAAAATATTTATGCCGACTGTGTTCGATCGAAGGATTTAAAAAGCTGCAGACGAACAGTGGAACGCGTGCCAATATTTCCTCCCTGTGTCTATGAATCAATATATTTCAAGGATCAGGTAAACATAGGTTTATTATGCGAACTTGTTGATCCGATAAAGAACGAGGAAAGAAAATTTGCTGCTGTTCTATGTCTTCAGACTGTTTACATTTACGTTTTACGAGGAACAGAAATCTTCTGAATACACATTGTCGCTTAGAAGTCATAAGATACCTAATAAAATTTGTAAGCGTTCCATATTTTTTCAATGTGAGGGAATAAATAAAATTACGATTCAATTCGGTCTACAATAAATTTAATATTACGTCAATATCAGACTTGGATCGATAGAGAATTGAAAGGAGACGTTTTGATATGCAAATATAGATTCAACGTTTATCCATTTTAATATCTTTTGTTATTTTTATTCTTTTTTTTTTTTTTTTTTTTTAATTGGGAAATTATTTTCATAAAAGAATACACGTTTGTTTCCAAAACATTCACGGATTGAACGATTTATCCCTGAATTCCTTATTGGTGCTAAACGTCGCATGTCTTCTCTCAAATTTATCGAATTTAATCCACTAAGGGGTGGAAACACGGTATTGAAACGTCCGAGGCGCGCAGCGTGCCTCGGAGAACCCATGGAATCAGAAATTCAATCATTCCTCCGATTTGTATTGGGTCACGTCGGACAGAAAATTCAATATAAATTCCGACTGGTAGCGCGCGAGTTGGAACGAACGGGTGGAAAGGGCAGAAAAGTCCCAACGAGGCCAGCAAAATTTCAATTAAAGTACGCGAGGGATTCAGGTCACGGATGCATCGAACCTACCCTATATACGCTGCGACTCAACAACCAAATAAAGTTGGTCAAGCACGGAGATACACCACGTGGTCTCGCTAAGCTTCCCCTTTAGCGTCAATCGCACAACAATAATGCAACTATAAAATTCGGAAAACGATATCGCACGTGCACCGCATCGCGGCCGAACGAACAGCAACGTGTCACATGCAAAATAGAAAATATTAAACATCAAAATATATCGCAAGGATAGAAAGGAAGAAAGAGATGATCAGAGTCGGCGCGTCGCGAACCGCGCGCGCCCACGTTTTACCTACTTTATCGCCTCCCACGTCTCGCTGTCAAAGGTCTTCATAACCAGCAGCTCAAGGGCGTAATTCACAAAACCGTACTGCACATAAAAGAGAAAAGAAACGATAATAAATATCGCGTGATCATATGTGAAGAAACAATAACATCGTCGAGGTGATTCGTCACTGATTGATCGAGATTCATCGACTGTCAACCGGTCCCGTCAGTCGTCCACCTTGCGATCGTTACTTTCTCTTTGTCTTTCAACATTTCTCTTGCTCCAAATTTGATTTTCTGCTTTTTTATTGAACGTACCATGGTGAATAGAGAGGAGAAGCGGATTGAAAGGCTTCTCTTCGTATCATTCCATGCTAATTGCCATGGGAGCCGTGTTTACCTCGTGCACACGAGCCGCGTACTGGAAAGTCGACCTGCCGTTCGTCGGAGACGATAAGTATCGATTTTCTACTCGCAGCTGCGCCACCTAGATACTACAACCCTGTTACCCGTCTTTGGCTCACCCGAACCAACGCGCCTCCTATACACCCTTCCGCTGCCAATCCGCTTTGCCGCCATCCACGGCCTGGAATCGACAACGATATTATTCGCCGGATGAGTACTTAGAAGACCTCTAAGACTAACCAGCGACTTGCATGCACCGTCGCGACTATTTTCTTTGGCATACTATACCTACGTTGAATTAACAGGAAAGCGTGAATTTTCATTTGCGATGCTTTTTTTCGATCCGTAATATCGATCGAAATTAAACATATGATTTCCGGTGGGTTTTACTGATCACCTTTTATTCTGGGTTTTAGGTGCACATAGCCAACTATGATTCGTATAATAAACTTCAAGTCCCCATAGCGAGCTTTAGCTTTATAAGCGAAACTTATTGTTAGATCCATTTAGCTAGCTTCGCGTCCATCTAGCAATTCATACATTCGCCTAATAAGCTTTAAGTTCGCCTAGCGAGCATCAGCTTCCCAAAGCTAGTGAGCTTTACGTTCGTCTGGTAAGCTTCAGGTTTGTCTAATGAGCTTCAAATATTTCTAACGATCTGGAAGTTCGTT